GGATGGGAGAGGCTGGCGAGCCTGTCAAATTTCCCTTATCCCCCCCTTCCTCCCCCCCCAAAAAAAAAACACAACCCCTTTTTCCTGCTTCATCGCGGTGCTCCCTGAGGAGAGCTGACAGCTGACGGGGGCGCGGCGCGGGGAGGGGGATGAGGGGCTTTGTCCTATTGTGGAGGATGCAGCCCCGCGCCGCAGGGAAAAAAAACATGGCAGTGCCGCTGCTCCCGAGCTGTGCTGGAGGATCCTCCCGCTTCCTGCGTCCCTGGAGCCCCGGGAGATGCCGCGGGAGGGCGGATCGAAGGTTACGGACACGAGGCATTGTTTGAGGAAAGGGGGGGAAGAGAACCCGGTATGGTGGAGAGAAGGTTTTCCTGCTTTTGTTCCTAGGAAAGGTGCCCGGACAAAGGGATGTCTGTGGGGTTTCCCCCCCACTTCCCCCCGGGAATGGGGGTTAAATTGGAATCCACGTGGTTTTTTGGGGGCTGGGATTGACACAGGAGACACAGGACCCCCTCCTGAGGGCACAGCTGGGTTTTCATCCCCCTCTTTTGGGGTTGGGAAGAACAGGAACGAACCTGGGATGTGGCACAAAGGGAAACCTGCGAAGTGTGGGAGCGTCTTCCCAGCTGCTGCCGTGGGGGAGACCCAACTCTCCTGGTTGCTTTCATTCCTCCCTCCCAAGGCTCTTCCTTTGGAAGGCTTAGGAAGAAGAAGCTTCTTCCCTTTGCTAGGGAAAGCTGGAGTCTGCCCTAAAACCTGTCCCTGGCTCAGCAAGGCAGGGAAAAGGGACTTTTGGGGAGGTGAATTATAATGAGCTTCCAGTGGAGGGGCCTCCAATAGACCCGAGCTCCATTAAAATGGTAATTTATGCTTTAGAGGAGCCCGGGGTATCAAGTTGGTGAACACGGGAGGCTTAATCTCAAACTGACAAATTCCAGTGTAAATTTGACAAAAGGCCCCTTGTGAAATCACTTTTAAGACAAGCTCCTGCTAATGAGCAGCAGTTGAGTTAAAAGGAATAAATTATGGCCTTATTTTGAGGTGTGCTGACCAAACTCCAGAGCCTGGGAATGTGCAGGGGCGCCGATTTTCCTTCTGACTTGCCGGCCTTCCCTCTGAAATACTAATTAGGGTGGGCTTCATCTGCTCTGGGAGCAGCTGCTGTGGAAAAAGAACGGAAAGCAGAGGTCCTGGTGCAGCCAGGATGTTCCCCATCCTAAAATTCCCAGTGTTGGCTCATCCACTGTGGCTGGCAAGCGGTGTCGGAGCGGAGCTGGGTCAGGCCGGGCTACAGGACTCCTCCACAGGCAACTGGAAGCCTGAAGGTTGCTCCCCCACCTATGGTCTGGTCAGGCTTCCCAAGGAGAAGGAACTGGAAACACTTCCAGTTGTTTCTTTCCTTTTCCAAAGAGCCTTGAGCTGTCATGGAAGTTCTGGTGATGTTCCCTGGTCCCGGAGTCCCACCAGGCCCTGAGGTTGTGCCTCTGCTGCTGCTCCGGAGGGGATTTTCTTTCCCTTTCCCACGTGAGAGTTCAGGTGTGGGTTTAAAGGGGAAAAAGGAATTGTTGGAGCCTTTGTAGGAGAGCACAAACACACCCACTGCCGTGGTGGTTCTGGTTGGGTCTGCGGGGCCGCCCCTGCGTGTGGGAATTCCGCCGGGGCGGATCTGGAAGTGCAACATGAATATTTCAGGTGTTAATCTCTTCCTCAAGCAGCAAGGAGGGGACTAAGGCAGCTTTAGGACCGGGATTACCGGCGCTCCAACTATTTCAGCTTTTCCCTTCTGCGTGCTAATGAGAGACACCCCCCTCGCAGTGCCAAGCTCCTGGAGATGTGTCTGAGCACTCGGGGGGGGAAAAATAATCCCAGTGCATTTTTAGTCCTGAATTTCTGCTGATACAACAGCCTCCGACTTCCACGAGGTGGGATTAACTCCAGGGCTCCTCCTGTGTGCTGGGGGCAGGTGTTTCCTGCACCAGAGCTGCCTCATTCCTGGTGGGAATGGCTCCTCCAAGGTGCTGCAGCCTTAATAGCTTTAAGGCCCTTGATTAGGCTTGTCATGTGCTTCGGGCATTGTGGGTTAGGGATCATCTTCCTGCAGACCTGCTGCACAAGCAGGTTTTAATCTGGCACGGGGATCCCAGGCTGGAGAACTCCTCGGGTTTGGGTTTTCACACTCGGCTTTTCAGCTCACCTTAATTTGCACCTCTCTGGTCTGGAGGTCTGGAAGTGGCTTGGTAATTCCTCACCGGGATATTTGAGAGTTGTGTTGTGCCCCGTGATGGGTGTTGGTTCTCTGCCCTCTGTGGGTTATTTTCCTTGAATTTTGGGGATAATCAACCCGTCCTGTTCAGCCCCAGCAGGTGAACGCCGCATTCCTGCTGGGGTTTCACTCTTTGCAGGCTGGACTAAGCTTCTTACCTGCCAGCTGCCTCCTTGCCTTAAAGCTATTTAAATCCATCACAGGGATGCAGATTCACTTTCTGGGGGGAGCAGAGGAACCACACTCTGGGTCGGGATATATTTAGTCCTACAGGCCTCGTGGAAATAAAGCACTTCCAAGTGACTGCGGGGACCAAGTGGGGACTCTCCATCCTCTGGTGGCTCAGGGATTGTCCAGGGGCAGTGAGGGGGTTGTAGGATGAGCTCGGGATTGTCCAGGGGCAGTGAGGGGGTTGTAGGATGAGCTGAGGGAGATTGTCCTGGTGCAGTGAGGGGTTTGTAGGATGAGCTGAGGGGATTGTCCTGGTGCGGTGAGGGGGTTGTAGGATGAGCTGAGGGGATTGATTGTCCAGGGGCAGTGAGGGGTTTGTCTCCTGGTGCAGTGAGGGGTTGTTTGGCAGTTTGTAGGATGGACAGAGCTTG